AGTTTTGGATAGGTCTTGGCAAGACCTCTTCAACGAGGGGTCGGAAGGGGGGTCCAGGGTCCAGGAGCCCGCCTTCATGAGATATGGGAAAAAGTGCGACGGACTCGTTTTGCGCACCTGCTGTGCCTCTATTGCAAGGAGTTGCAGTAGCATGGCAAATATTGGTATTTTCGGAATGAGGGCGAAGAGACAAATGAAATGGGCATATTCTAAGGACAGTTGGAGTAAAAAGTGTAAGGACTATTGCATATTGTGAATAGAAGGGCGGGCCTAAGTCACGATGGTACATCGATAACTTTGCTTTACCCGCTCACGGTGTGTGTGATGCGAGCGGGCCGAAGGCCCGGGCCTTCGACTGGCCAAGTTGGGTCTGATGCGGGGGCCGAAGGCCCGAGAAAAGGCCGCCGGCAGGCCAAGCTGGGCCGGCCCCCTGTCAAACCGAGTTGCCGGCGCAGCGAAGCGCTGCTGGCAACTCGGTTCGACGGAAGGGCGGGCCCTAGCTTGTTTCTCTTTGTGTCAGTCTATCGTGTGTGTGTGTGTGTGTGTGTGAAAATTTTAGTAGAGTCAAGCTCTTTGTCAGTTTTTCTATAGATTCAATAAATTTAGTTATTTTCTACTCTCACCACCCTTTTCCTCTGTACGATTCAAGTTCGATTGAAATTTTTCAGTCTCGTGTTTCGGTGACAAGCTAGTTTTTATGAATACAGTTTTGTTTTGAACCAAGCCAGGTTTTTTGGTTGACTGCCTATGCTATTTTCTTTGATGACAAGTAATGTTATCTACAAGGTAGGTTCACGCCAGACCGCGTCTTGTCGTAACAGGCTTCGCGATGTCTCGCGGCCCGTTCCTTCAATCCGCGCCTGGCGTACCTACTCTGGCCTGCGGCGCTAGCCTGCCTTCGGCAGGCAATGGCTTCTCCATCGTCGGTTACTTATAACTTGATGCATGCTGGGGGGCTCGGGCCCCCAGACCCCCCTCTATTCTAGATCCCTTATAACTTTTTAACTTGTCGGGGCGGGGGGGCTCCGCCCCCCAGACCCCCCTTCTTCAAGACAGGAGTGATCTGCCTGCAGAAAACTCGGTTTTTCGCCGTTTTTAGGTGTTTTTCGGCTACAAAAACTGAACTAGTTGAGCTAGGATAGTGAAATTTCCCGTGTCCCGAGACAAGGACAAGACCAAAAAGTGAGCAAAATCTCACCGAGATCGGCCGAGCCGTTCAGGAGGACTAGTGCGGACACACACACAGACAGTCAGACAGGAAAAACTTTTCAACCCCAATGGAGTAACAGGCTTCGCTATCGCTCAGCCAAAAACTTTTCTCGATTCAAAGACAAAACAAGGTAGGTGTACGCCAGACTGTGTCTTGTCATAACAGGCTTCGCGATGCTCACCAGTTACGACAATCCACGCCTGGCATATACACCTACCTTGGCCTGCGGCTCTAACCTGCCTTCGGCAGGCTGCCTTCCTTGGCAGACCGTGGAAATGGGCGTGAATCCCTCAAAAATAGCATTTGGTCATTTAAATCTACACTTATGGGGCTTAACTTTCGGTCGGAGGTCTGAATGGATTCTAATTCCGTCATCAGCAGCCTCAAAAACATTTAAAACGACATTGCACTTGACAAAAAGTTGAAACTTCCAAAACAGTTGTCTTTTTCCTGCCGTTTTTAGAGTGTGTTTTGGCTATTGTGACCGAATGGATTGAGATTGAAAGCTGAATTTTGGTGTGTGGCGAGCCAAAGATATGCCTAATGACCCTGCAAAATCTCAGTAGAATCGGCAGAGGCGTTTAGGAGGAGTAGTGCTAGTGATCCGGATTGGGTGGGCGGTCAAAACCCGATGACTCCAGAGCGACTCTAGAACTCGGCCGGTGAATGCAGTGCCGCCCGCAGGCACTGTCAGTAGGCTGGCGAAGGGCCTAGGCTATCCCGTCGGCAGTGGCTGCGGCTGGAACTGCATTCACCAGCCGAGTTCTACAGTCGCTCTGGAGTCATCGGGTTTTGACCGCCCACCCAATCCGGAATACTAAGTAGTGCGGACACACAGACACAGAGACAGACAGACAGACATGAAACACTTTTGAACCCCACTGGAGTAACAGGCTTCGCTATCGCTTAGCCAATAAATCCTGTATTTATTTCATTGATTTACTCACCGTCGGTAAAATGTACGGTATTCGCAGTTAAGTTATTAACAGGATTTGCCGTACTTAGAAGTACGGTGTTTACCGTACCTGGAAGTACGGAGATTCCCGTAGTTTATACAAACACGGTAAAAGTGCCGCCTTGAAATCTAGGGCGTCCAAGTGAATTTTCCAAGTGGTCCAAATCAAGATCTTGATATAGAAATGAATTCGTCTCGACCTTCTTTTTTCAGTCTAACTTAAAGGGCCCACGTGCTTTGATAGGTTAGGGGACTTGAATAAATAGTCCTTTTTCATTGAGTATTTATTTGTTGTCAAATCTGACGCCGCTGCACGCAGAGCAGCCTTCACTTGCCGCCGGGTGAGCCGCCGGGTGAGCCGAACAGTCCGCCGAGGCCGAAGGAACTGCCGCTGCTGGTGCTGGAACCGCTGCTGCTGCTGCCCTTCACTGGTCGGACTAAAGAGTGGCATTACCTTCTGTTTTTAAGCGTACTCAGTTTCGTTTGAAATCAAGCGCATCCCTCCATCTAAATGGAGAATTTCCTGTCTAACGTAAAAGCTTCAAGCGTATACTGCGAAGCCGGTAGTAAGTTTGCTTGCCACAAATTTGGCAAGCCGTTTTGAATGCCACAAATTGGCAATTGGCCCGGAAATACCCGGCTTGCCAATATCGCTCTACCAAAAATGTCCTGTCAATGCCGTTAATTTATTACCAGTTTTCACCGTAGGTCAATTCACAGCGTTTACTGTGATCTTGTTAGCGGTGTTCACGGTGATCTGGTTCACAGTATACACTGCGAGTGACGCCGCTGAGCACCGAAGCAAATCAGCCTCCAATTCACGGCGTTTACTGTGGCCAGATCACAGTGAACACTGTAACCGAGATCACAGTGAACGCCGTGAACTAGTTCACAGCAAACGTCGTGAATTGCATAACAGCAAACATTGGCAATAAATTAACGGCGTTGACCGGACATTTTTGTAGAGTGATTTGGCAAGCTTATGAAAAGTTCCGTCCAAAGCTTGCCAAATTTTGGCATTCAAAACGGCTTGCCAAATTTGTGGCAAGCAAACTTCCCACTGTATTTGCAGTATGACGTTATTCTCGTGTCAAGCATTGTGTTACGCTTAAGTTTTACTAGTAATAACGCCGCCGCCCGGGGGGAAAAGTAGGGTCTGCAAAATATTTCTTTGAAAGTGCAAAATATTTCTTTGAAAGTATTTTGCAGACCGCACTGCTGCCCGGGTTGTCTACTGAGCATTTGCATAAATTGCACTGATCTCTAGTTGTTGCTGACAAACTGCGACACTTTGCAGGCCGTACTTTTGCCTTTGCTGGTGCTGGACTTGCCGAAGCAGCCGCTAAAGCAACCGGGGGAACGGCGCTCGCGGCCCTCCTCCGCGGGTGCGCCGAACACGGCCTGGAAAACGAGAAGCACTCACATCCACTGCTCCAGCAGCCTGCTCCAAAACTACAACTACGCCATTTATTGCGCGAAAAAGCAAATCGGCCACTGCGAGCGTTGGGTAAGGATGCGTTCTACACTCAATAGACCATTCTAGTCGTAGCTGAGTGAAGAACAAGAAGAATCACAAATGACTTCATTTCGGGCATTTAAAGTGAATATATTCGCTCAAAATATGCTGCATGAACTATCCAGGAAGGTGATATCACGCTGAATGTGACACAATGCTCAAAGCAACATGACGTTTTGTCACATTTCTTTCAATGTGATGTCACGTTCCTGGGGGAGAGAAGCTTGAAACCTTACGAGGAATTCTGAGCATTTTGCAAGGTACAAACTGGGTAGTTGATCCACGAATAAATAGTTTGGAAGTCAAGAAGTTTTCTTCGTAAGCTTGCTTTGCTTCGACAAGCTACCATTTTGTAGGTCTGGTTACAGTTTTGTAAGGTTTCGAGGGTGTCCGTCTTGCGCTTGCGACGCCACCTTACCTTCAACTGAAGCGCACTCACCAGGACGCACAGGGCGAGGACTACGAAGATGGGGAGCAGGCTGACCTTCATGTTGTTGGTTGATGGCAGGCCTTCCCGGGCTTCCTATTTAACTGGCCGAGGCAGCGCGTTGGCACGTGGAAGCCCCTCGGCCGGGCCTCACCTTCGTCACGATGGCCACGACGAGCGGTCACGACCGCGGCACCGGCCGCCACTTCTATGACTCCGCAATCGCATTCCAGGGACGTCAAATCATGCTGAAACGTGTGTGACAAAATGTCACGTTTCCTAGAACAAAGCAGTTGAGCCAACAGGTGGGTGCACGGTCTGCGGCTGCACTGCAAATCCAAGTGTGAGACAGACAGGCACTAGATAACGTGGGACATTTTGTCCCACGCTTGCAAGCGTGGGACGAAGTTCGTCCCCAGTTATCTAGTGCATGCCTGTCCCACACTTGGATTTGCAGTGCACACACCTGAATTGGGGTATCGCTGTGGTGGGTGAGGGAGGGTGTAAAGTGAACAGGCAAGGGGAAAAAAGGAAATGAGAGGAAAAAAATACGATTTCACAAAATCCCCGCTGCCACGACGTCGATTTCATTTAGGTCCTGCTTCAACAAATCTTAGGCTTAAACTGCGATGATTACTATTCATTCCATGTTTGGTACTGAACCAGTATCAATGAAACTAAAACTTGGGTAAACGACCAGCTGCGTATCAATTGGTTCGAAAACGGGCATTGAAGTCAGGTGGGATACTCTTTACGGACAAGCATCAGGCAAGTTTCTTGCTGACAGGCCTTCTCGGCACGAGGTATGGGAGTCTCTTGAAATCCATTGAATCTGCTAACAATGAAGAACTGATGACTACAGAGGCGATTATATCCAAGGTAGTCCTAATAGATGAGAGTCAACAGAGAAGATTCAGTGAATGAAGCTAAAGCCTTTGGTTGTCAACAAGCATGTGAAGAGGTATGGAAGAGACGGAAAGGGAAGTAACAGAAGTTATGGTGGCAGCAAGAAACCAGGAAGGCCGAGCAATGGTAAGTCCAGTGGTGACAAGAGAGAATGACAGAAGATAGTAGCTTGCTTTGCTTGTAACAAGAAAGGTCACTTTGCTAGTAACTGTGATAGGTTCGAGAAATCGAATGAAGACGAAGACCCCGAGCCTAAACCGAAGAAGGCAAAGGCAAAAGAAGTGAAAAGCAAGGCTCTGCGTGTCATCCATGGAACCTGCAAGGCAAGGCAACAGCAATCACATCTAGGGTTGGGAAAACCGACATCTGGAGCGTCGCATCACATTATGCCTCACAGAGAGTCTTTCTCTTCGTTTGAGCCAGCCGCTGGAGGAGTCTCGCAAGCTGATGTCAGCATCCTGTATGTAGAAGGTGCTGGTAAGGTTAGGCTGAGGATTGACTGTGGTAATCACGATTACACTCCCAATCCAGGTGTGAGACAGTCTCACACTTGTAGGTGTGGGACATTTAGTCTCACGCTTGCAAGTGTGGGACAAGAAGAAGAAAGCTTTGAGGACGCCTTGAGTGACTTGGAGGCTGAAGCTGAGCCCAGCCCTGCTCCTATGACCAGGGAAGAGGAAAGAAGAACAACACGAGAATCCAGTAGAGACAAGGAAGTCCTCGCATGCGAGGAAGGGGAAGGAAGTATGTGGTTGTTGTGCTCATGTGTCTCTTTTTAAGGGTTCTGACGAAGGAGGACCCCTATTGTTTTTGACGGCTCAGATTCTTATTTTTTTTCGGTATCTTCTAATTGGAAAATGGATCCCGCCAAATTACTCGTTATCATAATCAAATAAAAATTCCTGAAAATTTCAAAAATTTATCGTGAGAATTTAACGTGAACGACTAAAACATAAATTTGCAACAATCAAGCACCCTTATCCGTTCACATTTTCCAGAAACGTTTCAAAGAGAAAATGTGCCACTCCCCAAAACTAAACCTCCTGCTTCATCAAAGTGACAAGAAATCGTCTGTGTTCTGAGAAAATGGTTACAACATAAAATAGTCTCCATGGCAACGACACGGTGCCATCATACCAACTGTCAAAATTTAAAGTCGCTGATAAAAAGAAATCAAAACGCCGTGAAATTCGAAAATGCCAATGCTCACGCATTGCACGGTGCCCCGACATTGGAACACCTTTGAAGTCTGTCGCTAGTAAAAAGTTCGTAGCAGAAAAGACGCGATAAATTAATTTTCGGGGGTTGGCAACAATTTTCTCGGCGTCTGCGCCCTTTCGAAAATCGCGAGGCTGAAGAAACGAGTAGTCGCGCATTGAAACTGCCCCTACATTGTTGCTGAGGTTGGATTGTTTGGCTTGCTTTTAAAGGCTGCGGTTCTCTTGTCGTGTTTTCCCAAATTCTGTAACCAGCACGACGGTTGGTTTGACAAACTTTATTGGCGAGCGATAGCGAGCCCATGCCGTGTTTGGGGGTACCAAAAAGTGACTGGTCGTGCGTCTGTCTGTCTGTCTGTCTGTCCGTAACTCACTCACGTTTCTCAGCAACTACCGCACAAATAGTTTCAAAATTTCGCACCGGAAGGCTCCTAAATCTCCCCCAGGGGGAGTTTATCTTATATTCACGATTACTATTGTTTGAAATATTCAAAACATCTTTTTGAATTAGGTTCTTAGCGTAGTTAGGTTGGCAGTGCTTGGCAGGTCGTAGCAATTTTTCATACTTGCGGCCGCGACTCTTAAATACGGGACCTGTCAAAACATTGGCAAATAAAACAAACTAAAGAGTAGAAGGGCTTAGAAGTGAGTACGGTCATGGTTTTTTCGATATTTTAGAATGATTGAAACCCCTCCGGAGAGTCAACTCAGTGAAATACGGAAAATGAAAGTGACAATTATTACGCGTTTCGTCCGTCCGTCCACCCTCTCCCCTCCCCCACCACAGGGGAAATGTTTTAGTCAGTGGAGTGTGTTTGATAATTGCAAGAATGATTTGGTCTTTTTAACCTTTGTGAGTGTATTTCCATTTATATTCTCAGACACTATATTTTTCAGTTGTTTGCTTTGCTCAATAACAGTTAGAAAATATATTAATACATTCTATGAGTACAAACCAGATGCTAATCTTGCCAAAATAAATAGTCTTTGCTGACTCTTGGCACTGATTCTGGGAAAAGGCTTCATTGCAATGCTGTGAGTTTACTATAGTACTAACCTTAAAGAAAACCATATGATGAGTGAGTGTAGCGCATTCAAGGTTTGACATTGACATCAGATTCAATGAGACGATTCACTGACTTGGTCATATGATTTCATGAGACGATTCTTTTAACTTAATCATACATTGTCTGCGACAACTAGTAATTTGTGTTGGTCATGGTTTGAGTTTGCTTTTTTTTTTTTAATTTACTCAGAATGTTAGGTAAATACTTTTGCTAAACTGTTTCAAAGATAAAATAACACACCATGACTATCATTATCAATAAGATAAACTTGCATTTAGCAATAAGTGGCCTCGACATTGGATTCTATGACACGATTCATTGGATCTGACAGAAGGTCTTCTCCGTAAAGTAGTTGAAATCAGCCTGCCTGTAAATATGTCTCTTTTTAATTAATGCAGATAAATCAATATAGTTAAATCCACTAGTTTAAACTAAAAGGGAGAAAGGCTATTTAGGTATTACTAATAACATTGCGTATTCATAAGTTCAGTAACAAGGAGATATCGAATGGTAATTGAAGTATTTGTGAATCGTATTAAGCAATTCAATGCTGGCTGTTAAATGTTCCTCGACTGAGTAACAGGGTCAGGGTTCGTGGCATGACACTATGAACAGGAAACGCTCTTAAGAAACCTAACAACTGAAGACCCATACTTTCAACTAGAATTACATGATTTGCGACCAAAATTTCCTCGGTGTTTCATTGCTTTCTGCAGTATTTGGTGTGCTGATCACAAAAATGACTTCCAATGTCATCCCAGACCTTTACTTTTCCAAATATTTACCAATTTTGGACCAAAATTTTTACATCGAGTTTTACATAGTTTCCTGCAGTTTTTGGTGTGCTGATCACGAAAATGACTTCCAATTTCATCTCAGACCTTTACTTTTCCAAATATTTACCAATTTCGGACCAAAATTTTTACATCGAGCTTTACATAGTTTCCTGCAGTTTTTGGTGTGCTGATCACGAAAATGACTTCCAATTTCATCTCAGACCTTTACTTTTCCAAATATTTACCAATTTCGGACCAAAATTTTTACATCGAGTTTTACATAGTTTCCTGCAGTTTTTGGTGCGCTGATCACGAAAATGACTTCCAATTTCATCTCAGACCTTTACTTTTCCAAATATTTACCAATTTCGGACCAAAATTTTTACATCGAGTTTTACATAGTTTCCTGCAGTTTTTGGTGCGCTGATCACGAAAATGACTTCCAATTTCATCTTAGACCTTTACTTTTCCAAATATTTACCAATTTCGGACCAAAATTTTTACATCGAGTTTTATATAGTTTCCTGCAGTTTTTGGTGTGCTGATCACGAAAATGACTTCCAATTTCATCCCAGACCTTTACTTTCCCCAAAATTTACCAATTTGTGACCAAACTTTTAAAATTGAGTTTCACATTGACCCTGTATTGGCCTTACTTTGCATATATTCTTCACCATCTTCTACAAGAATACAGACGCATCGCTCGCCTACTACGCGCCCAAACAAAACGGCGCGTACCCCTAGTAAACTCGGGAGGGGTGGTTTCGGAACGCGGATGACTTTCGTTTGACGAACATGAGCACTGTAAATCGCGAGATGGACTGAGATGGTCATTGTGTTACCTGAATCAGGTTTGAGGATGTAAAAATACCGGTAGGATTCAAAGTTACGTAAATAACGGTAAAATTAACGTAATTAACGTTTAGACGACAGATTTCAAATTGATTTCCACAACCGGAACACCGTGCAATGCGTTAGCATTGGAATTTTTTCTGTTGAACCCAGTTCCTCGAACGAAGCATGGAATGGTCCAAGGTCCTATGAATGGAGGAAATCGATGAAAAGTGAAACGGAAAGCCTGAAGTCCAAATACTGCTGGGATGTGGTTTCGAGACCGATTGATCAGCATGTGATTAGATGCAGATGGGTCTGCATAATCAAGAAAGGACGCATCGCTACAAATCGCGTCTTGTGGCGCAAGGATTCGCAACCAAGTGCTAGGTGTGGACTGTGGTGACACCCACAGCCCCGTGACTAAGAAGGAGTCCATCAGGCTAATAATGGCAGTGTCTGTGGAAAAGGGCTGGCGACAAGAACACTGGGATGTCACCTGTGCCTTCCTCCACAGTACGGCGCGTTCATTTCCGTTTTTACTGTGTATTTATTTTCACCCAGTTCCTTGTCGCCCACAGCATGCCCCCACAAGCCGGGAAACAGACACCTGTTGACAACAGAATAAATTAACATGTTTGCATCGCAGTGCGAAAAAGAGCCACACTAGGAGTACGCAAAGCGCGTGCAAGTCCCGGACAAGACACATGATTTACACCCGAAAGTGTTTTGCATTTGCCTCGAACCACGCGTCGGGGCCCAACTCAAGACCAAACCGGAAGAGTCCACAGGCCAGAATACTTCGTCCTGCTATTCAATTCCATGAAAAACATCCTCTGACCTTGGCAACAAAACGCCGTGTTGTTGGCACCTTGCTTTTTTACTTTAAATGATATTGTTTTCTTTTCATATTTTTCAAAAATTCTAATAAATGCGCCATGATTTGTCTTCCACGAACCTGAAGCCATGCAGTTGCTTTCCACCACCTGTACCTATTATCTTCGTCTCGTTGCACTTCGCTGGGAACGCAGAGGAACAGCAGTTCCAGCTGCGTTTCGCCAGCTGCGAACTTGAAGAACTCTTCAAACTCAACAGCGTGCTCTCTCCAAGTTTGCGCAGAGTCTAGAGATGTGGGTCTGTGAGCTTCTCCACCCACATCTTTAAGTGTAGACTGCAAACTGCACACGTCCAAGTGTGGAGAATTACTTGGCACCAGCTGGTATGGAGTTCTCCACACGTGGCTTGACAGTAGTGTGCTCTCTGCGCGATCGACGCTTGTGCCCGATCTGATGATTCTCCCTCTCTCTCTTCTCCTTGATGCCCCCTCCTCTTCCATCGGAGACACCACTCCGAACTGGTGGGCCCAGGCGTACGATACCCACAAGCAACTCGATTCTCGGTTCACCCGCGTAGTGTACTTGATCGAAATGACGCCGCCTCGTTGGGCCCTGGGAAGGATGGTGTCTTTAGGTACGCACCCACTGCAAAAATTTATTGTCACTTTACGACAAAATCGTGGATGGTATTTTCATATCTTTCAAACGATGACAATGCCATCACAAATTGATCATGATTGATTGATTGGTTGATTGATTGATTGATTGATTGATTAAATTCCATCAACGCTCTCTTATGGCATACCAAAATTGTCATCAAATGTTCTGGTGACCTTCTTGTGAGGGAAATTATCCTTGAAATCGTCATCAAGTGACAACCAAAATCTCCATAGTGCTCGTAAAATCTTGATGTAAAAGGCTGCATCATATTACACTCAAAAATACTTGCAGAGTATTGTCTGACATTGTATTAAAAACGTGCATTTTTTTTGCGAAGAAAATACTTTGCAACAACTGACTGTTCCTCGAGGGGTCATTCACAAGTGTACTCATGTGTACAAATTTGCCCGTACTCAATGTACTCACAAATTTCAAAAGGGCGATATTCACTAGTTTTTTGACCGGTTTGTCGTTGAGTGCCGTTTAAAACGCTAAATAAAGCCTTAAAATGTGTTCAAATGTGAAATTTATGAGTAAAGCAAGGTGTAAGGGAGTATGGGGCAATTTGTAACAGATTTTGGAATTCTCTATACAAAATTAAGAACATTCTGCATGTCGGTGTCAAACTTGTGCCAGTTGAGCAGTCTGGCCCTTCATCTAGACTGTGCAGCTCCGTTGGATCAATCTGGAGTCCGTAATCTTTGAAATCTAAGACGCTTTCCAAACCCTTGCATGCTGTTACGAATCACCCCAGCATGGGGTGATTTGTAACAGCCATGGGGCTTTTCATAACAGCCTACACATTAAATGAAACATCGTCGGGAATGTTATCTCCTCCAGCAGTTGTTCTTCGGATGTCCTATAGACGCCTTAAAATCTACATTACAAGCTGCCCTTGACCGCCTCAGCATAAACTGACCGGCTAAGTAAACCCTAACCTCACTTTTTTCAATTTTGGAGGAAATAATAGAATAACTCGCTTTAAAATGCATTTTGAACTGTGTAAATGTATTGGAATTAGGCAGCAGATGATTCGAGAAATAATTCAAGCATTTAATTGCAAAATTTACTTAAATTCTTGTTTTTATACGGGTCTAGTTACGAATCACCCCAATTGCCGGCTACGCAAGAAATACGTCCCTAACTATCACTGGACAAAGTAAAAGCACCTTATGCCACGTGGTTACATTGTAAAGGGGTCACGCTTCAAGGCCCCAACGGTACTTCGATGGTGATTCATACCTGGGGAGCCTCAGACAGAAACTTCCTAGAGCTCAAAATAAAAGATTTACCTGTTTTCGGTGTACCCTAAATTTCAGACGCCCTCCACCAAAACTATACCTGAGCACCGATCACATCCGCTTTGATTGTAGAAGGACCCTGTACTTGAAGCGAAAGAGGGGTCATACTCAGATTTTCCTCTGCTCCCTCCACTTAAATTAATAAACGCATGTGTTACGAATCGCCCCTGTTACGAATCGCCCCATACTCCCTTACCACCGGTACTCATGTGTACACCGGAACGCAGAATCCCTCGCTGTTCCTTTCACTGCATCTATTCCAGGCGAGAGCCTCAAGCCGTGGCTGCGCCACGCCCTGCCCTTGCTCGCCTTGCTGGCGGCGTGGCGCTGGTCGCAGGCCCCCCACGAGGCCCTGAGCGGCCCGCTGGTGCGCGTGGAGCAGGGCCTGCTGCTGGGCGCGCACCGCCTCACGCTGCAGGACGCCATCCCGTACTTCAGCTTCCAGGGAATCCCGTACGCCCGGCCGCCGATCGGTGACCTACGCTTTAAGGTGGTCACCTCATTCCTAACTACACTGCAAAGTTCATTCACTGCGAATGAAAGCGCTGGTAAAGCTAAAGCGTAACTCTATGCTTGAGTCAAGCATAAAGTTACGCTTGAAGACGTTACGCTTGAAATCAAGCAAAGACTAGAAATTTCCCTATGCCTTTAAATAGGGGGAATCTTGGCGGCTGAGCCTGTTACGCTTGATTTCAAGCGTCAAGTGATTACGCTTGAAAACTGTGGGTAATACTACGCTTTAGTTTTACCAGTGAAGGTCGTCACCAATATCCAATGTTGGGCGCTGTGCACTTTGTCTCCCAAATTTGCGCGAGGATCATTTGAACATTCAAATTTGGGCGAGGAAGGGTCACTTACAATAAATTGGGTGATAAACGTTGGACCAGCTACAGCTTGAAAGTATCATCACTCAAATTTAGGAGATAAAATGATACTCGCCCAAATTCGGACGAAAGAGAGTCAGGCACGCTCGATTACGCAGATGCAAGTGCGTACTTGGCCAAGCATGCGTTTCTAACTGTGCACGTGCAAGGATGCATTTGTAAGTGTGCACTAGGAAGACAGTTTGGTTTCAGGCTTGCCAGACCGGGCGCTTTCGGGTCCCTCCGGGCGCCGAAGAAATGGCCTCGGGCGCCTGGGCGCCCGACGGGCGCTTTCGGGTCCCCCGGGCGCGCGCCCGGGGCCTCGGGGCCGTTCGGGCGCGTTTGGGCGGGCTCGGGCGCCTTCGGGTGGAAGCGACCATCTCGCCAGTGCTTCGGGCGCACTTCGGGACCCGAAGTGGCCCCGAAGTGCCACAACCGTAATACGAATAGGAATGTAATGCAGTTTCAACTGTTGGCGTCCCTAGCAACGGCGTAACTAGGGAACCGGCAGCCGTCAGCAGGGGCGGAGCCAGGGAAGGGGCACAACATCTGGTGCAGCCGCGGGGTCGCGGGAGGACACCGACACCATGTCCATGTCGAGAGAGAGAGAGAGAGAGAGAGAGAGAGAGAGAGAGAGAGAGCGGAAGAATTCAATTCTTAGAATTGCGGGAAACACAGTGATCGGGCCTGTGGGCCTGGCCCCGGGCGCCTTCGGGCGCCTTCGGACGCACTCGGGCGCGCTCGGCCGATCCGGGCGCGCTCGGGTCGGCCGTGTCTGGCAAGCCTGTTTGGTTTGGTGTGATCGCGCAGGCCTCGGCCTGATCAAAGTAAACTGCAGGCCCCCACTGAGAATCCAAACGCTATGAGTATAGCGTCAATTGGTGCAATGCAAAATCATTGCACATGAAGTGCAATGCCTCCCCTTTCCCATGCAAAAGCATAGGGCATTTTCGGAAAGCATTGCACCTATGGTGCGATATGGCTCTGGCATTGCACGTGTGGTGCGATATCTCAGCGCATTGCACCATACGTGCTATACTCATAGCGTTTGGATTCTCAGTGCCTTCTTCGTCCCCCGGTGCCCAAGAGCCCCCGGTGTTCCTCATCGTCGCCTTCCCCGCTGCAGGCGCCGCTGCCGCCAGCGAGCTGGCCCGATGTGCGTCCCGCGCTAGAGGAGGGCCACATGTGCTGCCAGCCTCACACCGACATCTACTGGCTGCCACGCGACGTCGTGATGGTCGGTACTACTGGTCCGCTTGCCACCCCACAGTGGGCCAGAAGACCGGTTGAGGCGGCCACAATTCTATGCGTTTCGAGCTCTGAAGTCGCTTACACTCTCAGACTGTTATTGACTTTTTGTCCTTTGTTAAAGAGTATTTTACACAGCAATAATAAGTACTATTTCGTCAATATCTATGTAGGATTTCATTCGTTATATTGACTTAAAGTCAATTTGCTATTGACAAAGAGTCAATACGCAATTGACTTAAGAAATAGTCAATGATTGATGACAATTTAGTCTTTATAGTGAACAATATTGTACATGGTTACAAAGGAAATAATACATATTATTGCTGCTTAAAAAACTACGTAAGCAAAGGACAAAAAGTCAATAATGGAGAGAAAAAAGTTAATACGAGTCTGAGAGTGTAACGGACTCGAACCGAACGTGTGACTCCACCAATGGATTGCTTTCCGAACGAGGAATCTATTGGTGGGGTCAGACGATCGGATCGAGTCCTGTTCACTGATAGAGAAAAGTACAGAAATTACACGGAACAAATGTCTGGTCAGTTCTTTACATGGACCGTCCGTAACTTGCCAACCGCGGAGGTTCCACACATGCTTTCCGAACCACTTTACATGAGATCCTCATGGGAACCTCACAGAAGCAGCACACTCAAGCACGTTACTGACCTTTTTCTTCATTAATTACGTATTCGTGCAAGCAACAATAATGCTTAGTATTTTCTAAGTAATTATGACTAATTCCCTATGTAAAATTATGTACAAAACCAAATTGTCAGTACATTGTTTAATATTTCGTAAGTAATTCTTTATAAAAGGAAAAGTACGTATTATGGTTGCACAAATTACTTGCGTAAGTTCTGACAAAATAAGCAAAGTCACTCTCATTTCAGGAACGTGACATCACGATGTCACGTTCGTTTGAGCATTGTCACATTCGTTCGAATGTGAACAAGCTGATTTTTAGCCAATTCACAACCCAACGAATGTGACACAATGCTCATGACACACAACGTGATGTCACGTTCCTGAAATGAGAGGGTGTCAGTAACGTGCTGAGAGTGCACGGACGGGCCGTACATTTTCCGCTCCAAACCACGGAATTTTTTGCATTGTTCAGCGACTCAGGAGCTCAAAACGCGTCTAGAATTTTGGCCGCTTCCACCGGTCTTCTGGTTCACAGTGTGCCCAGTCATGCCTCCTTGTCTATTAGCGCCTTGCCGCCTTGCCTGCAGATGGAGGTGCCGTCACTGCGCCGCGTTTGGAACATCGTGTCCTCGCTGCCGCGACTGTGGCAGCAGATCCGACGCTTCTGGGCGCAGCAGGAGGACTGCCTGTTCCTCAACGTGTACACCAAGCAGGTGCACTGCAAGAAAAAGTGTGGATAGTACAACAAAAGTACAACAAAAACTGTACAATAAAAGTACAACAGGGATTGTAGAATGTACAACGAGAATTGTACAAACCACAACGAGCCGTGGACTGCCCAGCACTCGTCATGCCGGTTCCGTTGTACTTTGTACAACAATTCGAGGGGTCCTATTCAAAAGATCTTATCTGCGCGTTCCCCCCAAGACAATCTTATCTTAAACGCATGCGGATTTCACCCAGTTTGACCAGTTGGGACACGTACGAGAGTAAGCGGAATATATTTTTACATGTACTTTTGGTTTCTTTGATCTTTCATCTCCACATTTCAGTGAATTTTATCACAAATGATTTTGATTTGTAGCTGTATTAAATGATCAAACTGAGTAAAATTCACATGCGTTTAAGATAAGATTGTCTTGGGGGGAACGCGCAGATAAGATCTTTTGAATAGGACCCCTCGAATTGTTGTACTTGAAAAGTACACTAAATTCCTGGCAAAAAAATTGCCAGAAATTTGTGTACTTTTGTTGTGGTTATTTTCTGCAGTGTGGGGCTTTCACGGCCGGGGTGAAGTCCACAATGCAAACACGCACTAAGCAACCTCTGCCCTCTATTTGGTGTTCTCACAAAGTTCTGGCCGAGTTTTGACGAGACTCTCCGGTCTGACCAAAGCTTGTCAAGCATTTTAGGAGTTGAGAGAAGTCTGACCTTCGAATTTGTAGTGCATGCTCGAGCACCCTCATTCCAAGTGCGTGACATCACGTTGAAACGAACGTGACACAAGGGCGGATCCAGAGACGGGTTCAGGGGGGGAGGGGGGTCGACGTCGTGAAAGTTGCCTACCTACAGGGGTTATGTGCTACTTTTTGCCTACCTTCCAGGCGGCTTCGCCGCTTTCAGGGGAGGACGACGCCCCCATCGCCCCCCCCCCCTTGGATCCGCGCCTGACGTGACATTTTGTTAAGTTCGTTTTTGGCCCGTCCCGTTTATTTTTTGTAAAAATAACAGGAAAAGTAGCGATATACATCGGCAACTTTGGCCCGTCCCGTACATTTAGAAATGTGTGAATTTCGCTAATGTTTAACCCTAACGGGATTTGAACCTCAGTCTGGGGTCCAAATTTATGTTATTTTCGTCATCAGCACCTTCAAAAACATCAGAAACAATGCAAAAACTCGAGTAAAAAGAATGTTGAAAATATACCCCACTGGGATTTGAACCCGGGTCCAAACTTCTCCAATTCACTTGAAACTGGCACCGTTGGTTTTTTCTCGTCGCCCTGATTCCAAAAATACCCCTACATGTCCTGCTAGCTGTATCCGTTGCCGAAATCCCCTTCGACCCCATGTAGACCATGATGCACCTGCAGCAGCGCCCCCGGGGCTCGGATCGGATTTGCTGCCACCGGGCGGTTCTTAGGGTCAGCCAAGGAGGCTGCATACCAAATTTGGTCAAGATCGGACCACGGGAAGTCCTCGGACGAACGGACGGACGGACGGACGGACGCACAGCAGGGATCATACTATATGCCCGTCCCTCCGTCATTTTTTTACAAATAACAGGAAAAGTAGCGATTTACATCGGCAACTTTGGCCCGTCCCGTACATTAAGAAACGTACGAATTTCTCCTATGTTTGACCCTGACGGGAATTAAATCTGAGTCTGGGGTTAAAAAAAATGTCGTTTTCGTCATCAGCACCCTCAAAAACATCAGAAACAATGCAAAAACTCGAAAAAAAGAATGTTCCAAAAATACCCCGCTGGGATTTGAACCCGGGTCCGAACTTCTCCGATTTGCTCGAAACTGGCACCATTGGTTTTCTCTCGTCGCCCCGATTCCGAAAATACCCCTACATGCCCTCCTAGCTGCATTCGTTGCCGAGATCCTCCTCGACCCCATGTAGACCATGATGCACCTGCAGCAGCGCCCCCGGGGCTCGGATCGGATTTGCTGCCACCGGGCGGTTCTTAGGGTCACCCAAGGAGGCTGCATACCAAATTTGGTCAAGATCGGACCACGGGAAGTCCTCGGACGAACGAACGAACGGACGAACGGACGCACAGCATGCATCATACTATATGCCCGTCCCTCCGTCATTTTTTTTACAAAAAATAAACGGGACGGGCCAAAAATAAACGAGACGGGCCAAAAATGACGGAGGGACGGGCATATAGTATGATGCATGCTGTGCGTCCGTTCGTCCGTTCGTTCGTCCGTCCGTCCGAGGACTTCCCGTGGTCCGATCTTGACCAAATTTGGTATGCAGCCTCCTTGGGTGATCCTTAGAACCTCCCGGTGGCAGCAAATCCGATCGGAGCCCCGGGGGCGCTGCTGCAGGTGCATCATGGTCTTAATGGGGTCGAGGAGGATTTCGGCAACGGATACAGCTAGCAGGGCATGTAGGGGTATTTTTAGAATCGGGGCGACGAGACAAAACCAACGGTGCCAGTTTCAAGCGAATCGGAGAAGTTTGGACCCGGGTTCAAATCCCAGTGGGGTATATTTTGAACATTGTTTTTCTTATGTTTTTGAGGGCGCTGATGACGAAAATAACATCTATTTTGACCCCAGACTCAGGTTCAAACCCGTCAGGGTTAAACAAAGGCGAAATTCACACATTTGTTAATGTACGGGACGGGCCAAAGTTGCCGATGTATATCGCTACTTTTCCTGTTATTGAACGTGATGTCGCGTACTTGGAATGAGAGTGAAATTTCACCTTACTTCTTACTTAAGAATAACGTCAAGGTTTGCAACAGAAGCCTTTTGATTGGCCAGATCCACGTGGCGGGCAACGACTCCAAAGACGACGACGACGTGCCGAAGGCCAAGCTGAGCCCCGTGGTCGTGTTCCTCCATGGCGGCGCCTTCTACACCGGCACGGCCAACAGCCACATCTACGGACCGGACTTTCTGCTCCGCGAGGACGTGGTGCTCGTCACCGTTCAGTACCGCCTGGGCGCCCTCGGTCAGTTCCGCCTCGCCAACACTACAGACCTAACTGTATACTAAGTACACACTTCCAAATGCGTGCTTGGCCACGTACACACTTACAAATAAATGCTTGGTAAGTACACACTTACAAATGAATGCTTGGTAAGTACACACTTACAAACGCCTATGCTTAGCATGGAGTTATACGGCGCCAAGTATGCGTTTGTAAAAGTGTACTTACCAAGCATGCATTTGTAAGTGTGTTCAAAAACCTTTTCGGCACGAGCTCTGCAAACTCAAGTGTGTGCCAGGCATGCACTTCTTGGTGCATGCCGTCGCTAATGCATGCATACAAGCAAGTGTGTGCCTGAGTCATGCAGAAAAGAAGTGTGTGCCTGCCAGACATGCAGAAAAGAAGTGTGTGCCTGCCAGGCATGCAGAAAAGAAGTAGGTGCCTGCCAGACATTCAGAAAAGAAGTGTGTGCCTGCCAGACATGCAGAAAAGAAGTGTGTGCCTGCCAGTCACGCAGAAAAGAAGTGTGTGCCTGCAGGCATGCACAAAAGAAGTGTGTGCCTGCCAGACATGCAGAAAAGAAGTGTGTGCCTGCCAGACATGCAGAAAAGAAGTGTGTGCCTGCCAGTCACGCAGAAAAGAAGTGTGTGCCTGCAGGCATGCACCAAGAAGTGCATGCCTGGCACACACTTGAGATTGCAGAGAGATGAAAGTCAGAACGAGACTGAGAGTGTGGACTGAGTGGTCCATGGCCCGGCTGCCGCAGGCTTCCTGGCGGCGGGCTCGCGGGACGCCCCGGGCAACGCGGGGCTCAAGGACCAGGCGCTGGCCCTGCGATGGGTGCAGCGCAACATCCGGCGGTTCGGCGGCGACCCCAACTCGGTGACGCTGCTGGGCCACAGCGCGGGCGGCGCGTCCGCGCACTACCACACCATGTCCCCGGGGTCGCGGGGGCTGTTTCATCGCGCCGTGCAGCTCAGCGGCTGCGCGCTCAACGCCTGGGCCTTCGCCACGCCCTCCGAGGCCAGCGCCAGGGCCGGGCGCCTCGGCAGCCTGCTGGGCTGTGGCGCGCCGTGCGCCTCGCCCGACGGCCTCGTCGCCTTCCTGCGCACCAAGACGCCGCGCGAGCTCATCGACGCCTCCTACCACGTGTTCGAGAAGCAGGTAGGGCGCGCCAGTGCGCGGCTCGAGCGTTTGTCAGTGTGTACTTAGTCGACACTAAGGTTTAAAGTGTAACTCACTCTGCACTTCCAAGTGCTAATTCCACATCTCCGCATTTCTACCCACTGGGTGCAGTACATTTCCACCATATCTTCCTGTCTGTAGGAGGGTGCGGCTGGACTCATTGCTCCCTTCGTTCCAACCGTGGAAGAGGCAACGGGCGCCCCCAATGATACAGGTGACACCGCCTTTTGAAAATGTTGTCCTCCTTTCGTTGTTCTTATGCTACCGCTACGTAAGATACCAATCTTTGTGAGTTTACGAAGGTGTCTTCGGCAGCTCTTTTGCCACAGGTACCATCGTTAATTCCGTAGATTTATTTCTACAGTATGTGCTTTGTAGGCCCTCTTTAAAACAGTATGCTTCGCGGGCACTCTGTAAAACTGTGCCTCGCAGGTTCTAAGTATAACAAAATGCATTGCAGGGACTTTGTGAAACAGTGTGCTTCGCATGCATTCAGGAACACTGCAAGGAAAAGAGTGAATAGTTCAACAAAAAGTACAATAAAAACTGAACAATAAAAGTACATCAGGGATTATGGAAAGTACAACGAGAATTGTACAAACCACAACGAGGCCTGGACTGCACAGCACTGGTCATGCCGGTTCCACGCTGTACTTTGCACAACAATAGTTGTACTTTGAAAGTACAATAAATTCCTGATAAAAAAAATTGCCAAGAATTTGTGTACTTTCGTTGTGGTTTTTCCTTGCAGTGCAGTCTGCTTCCCTCTCTCTCTCTCTCTCTCTCTCCTTCTCTCTCTCTCTCTCTCTCTCTCTCTCTCTCTCTCACACACACACACACACATGATTTAATAACGCGGCCGGCGATTGACCGTCCGCATTCCCCTCGCAGCGTTCCTCAGAGTGAGCCCCGCCGAGGCGATGGCGGGCCACAGCGCGGACTACTGGCCCGTGCCTACACTGGCGGGGCAGAACGACGCGGAAGGCATGATCGTGCTGCTACCGGACATCATTACGAATGGTGAGCTGAGCAGAGAGATCTCCGCGATAGAGGAAAGGAGAGGAAATTAAGATATCGCAACCCCGTTTACGCCACAGCAGGTAATTGAAGTGGCTATCGCATCGCATGAACTACAACCATAAACATCGAGCTATCAAAAGTACAAAATTTTACGAAAAAACCCTGCTTTGATCGTTCCTGCCAAATCTTTAAAAATTGCTTTCGACGAAATTTTCATCTTATAGTTGACCTTGGTTCTTGATTCTAGTTCATGCGATAGCCGCGCAAACGGGGTTGCGATGTCTTGTTTCTTGCGGACTGAGGGACTTCCACCAGTGCGCTCTTCAAACCTCAAATCTCTTGAACCTGGGTGAAGTGAACTATTTTACCGCGCGTCTTTTAGAATAACCTGACCATCATGTGTTTTGACACTCTTTAATGACCCTTTCCGAAACAAATTGATACGCAGCAGGTCCTTTACGCAAGTTCTAGTTTAATTGATAGTGGTTGTACCAAACATGAAATGGAATCCAATCAACGCAGTATTAGCCTCAGGTATATTTGCTGAACCGGGACGTAAATGAAACCAACTTCGCAACACCTAGGATATCGTGAAGTCGTATTTTTTATCATTCGTTAGGATGATCAGCGACCCTTGACATTCTAAAAGACGTCTACTCGTCATTGCACATAAAACACACGGCCACCATTCTGGTACCAGTGGTCGATTGGTGGCCTACCTTGCAGGCGCCACAGGCAAGGACAAGACAAGGAGTTGAACATTCGCCCCGATACGCGCTGCACCGCCATTCACTGGTGAAACAAAGGCGTTGAAATTACGCCCTAGAAGGGCGTAAACGATTTACGCCCCTGGAGCGGCGTGAATCATTAATGCCTTTTGGAATGGCATTACAATTTTGCTTAAAATTCCTATACCAATCACGCCCTTCCGAAGGGCATAAAACGATTTACGCCCTTACAGGGCATTTTACCGAGGGGTGACCCACTGTAAAATTTTGTGTACAATGATTGTGTGAATGTGCAAGAATGTGCAAGATATCTTGCTTTTTTGCCACACATGTTGCCTACTTACAGGCGTTTTTGCCTCCTGAATGTGGTCAAATTTTGTACAACGGATGTGGAAAGCTGTTGCCCCCTCGCATTTTACGCTCTGAAAGGGCGTAATTTTTATGAGCGGTTGCCAAAATAAGGGTATCTTTCGTGTCTTTTGGCTCTATAATCGTTATTTTTCAACGTATTGAGATGCGGTTTGGTGCGTTGTGTTGGGCTCGACGTCGCCCACTCTTATCCATCTTAAGTCACCACTTTTACAATTCAGAAGATGTCGATAAAGTGCTCCAAAGGGTCATTTTGTAACGTTCCGGCATGTCCCCCGTCCATAAATTCAAAGTTTCGATGCTTATATTTCAGCTAATATGGAACGTAGAACGATTCTGAGAAGATATTCGGAAACTTTATTATTTTATCTATCAGACACATGTTACTGAACTCGTTTTTACGAGCTCGATTTGGGTGCAATCTGTAAACGCAAAATGTCCTCCGTGGTTGACTTTGCGGAACGTTACATGTGAATTATCACGGTTTCTCGCGTTGTACTCCACTGATAGTTCTCGGCCTTGTCGTCAGATTAATCTGTAGCATTTTTGCCGTCGAATGGTGCAAACGGGAACTCTGAGAAGTTAATAGAAAGCTCAGAATCTTGTTTTATAGGTTATGTTTCGGTAGTGTCCGACCATGATTTTAAAATGCTTTTCTGTTCCCCGGGCAAGTTCTAGACCAAACAGAGATATAATTCTATCGGGACGTGTTGAGGAATCTTAAAACAGGAGCTCACACCAAATGGCGTGTTTTAATTCATAGCAAGAGAGTTACTAGGCCTGTTTGAATGACAATGTAACGTTCCGTATCCCGCTGTTTTCTGTAACGTTCCGTGTCTTTCCCCTATACTTTTGATAGGGGCTTTTTGGTCTTTCTGCAATATTGCACCGGGAGCTCGACTGCGTTCAGATATAAGTCGTGGGACATCACTGAATAAATTGGCCGAGAAAAAAACCGACTTTTCCATATTTTTTTCTTGAGGTTCTATGGCCTTCAAAAGTGCCCCGAATTTTGGCAACTGCTCTTATGCCTTTGATTTACCTGTGTTTAAACTGCGACTCATGCATGGCTCTCTTTCCGCAGACATGACGCCGTCGGCCCGGAACTTGGCGCTCCTGGAGGAGGACTTCGAGCGCGTGGTTCCGGTGGAGCTCGGCCTGGCGCGCGGCTCGGCTCAGTCCCGGCTCGTGGCGGACATGATGCGGAAGCACTACTTCCAGGGCAAGGCCGTCTCCAAGGCGACTATCATCAACTTCGTCCGGGTGAGAGCCATCGTCTTAGCGCCAGCTAGGCCACAGTGGGCTACACTGTAAATGTCTTACGGTGAGAGGGTGCACCAATATATTATGGTGGAGATTTTCTCCATAATACCATCAAAATTTGTCAAAATATCTATAAGGTACAGTGAAATCTCAATGGTATGTTACGAAGTCAGCTGCACCACCATATTATGGAACATCTTCACCATAATATGGACAATCTTCACGGTACAACATTTATAGTGTAGAAGACTAGTCTGGTGGAGACGGCCAAAACTTTGGACGCGTTTTGAGCTCCAGAGTCGTCATGAGGGTTTAGAGGGTGCAGTACGGGTGTTGCTCTGCATTCGACGCACGAAAGAACAATCCAGATTAGTATCAAGTATACACAACAAAAACAGTATCCGGGCTTGACAGACCCACCCTGGAAAAATATGCTATTTTTTCGGGGGTGGGCCTGCGAATCCTGGAAATTGTTTTTACTGTGTATAAAAGTTTATTTTTTTACTGTGATATTTTATTGTGATGTTTATTGTGAAAGCTAAACGATTAAGTCGTTACAGAACAGTGCGGCCTTGCGTTTCTCCTTCTTACAGATCTCCCCGAGGGAGTAAACAGTAAATACTCCCGAAAAACCCTGTACCTAGAGACCCCATATTACGCGTAATACACGTGCACGCAATACCATTTTGGGTCATGTGACAAAATTTTAGCATTCCAATGTCATCATACACGTCCAATATCGCCATAATACTTACACGTTAATACCGAATAGTTTCTGTACGATTTCTAGAAGAAGAAGTGTTTACCCCCTCGGTTCACCCCAGCTCTGTGCACGTGCATGTTTTATCTGGCCGGGGAAGTCCAATGGTTGGCCATTGCCTTGCTCACTCTTCCTCTCCGTGCTGCAGATGTACAATGACCTCCTCGTCTGCATCGGAGTGGGCCGCTACATGCGTGCCCTGACTCGCGTGTCGGCACAACCGGCCTTCTTCTACCTCTTTACATTCGACGGCAAGCTGTCCGTTGTCAAGAAGCTCGTTCGATCAGAACTGCCAGGTACGTACGTATCCCCGGCAAAGGTACAGTTTTCTGACAAAAACAGAATCCATTTTTGCCCCCGACCCAGTATCGAAAGGCATTATAAAACCAGCAAATTTTTAACAGTTAATACCTTTGCACCTTCAACTTAAGGTAAGAATGCAAGACACTATGAGGTGTCAGGTAGCTTGTACTCTCAGGATGAGCCCAGGACGAGGCAGGACAGTGAGTCTAGATGGCGCACAACATATTTTTCAGACTCCCTCCAAAACTATACCTGAGCAGAGCACCGATCACATCCGCTTCGATAGCTCATGGACCATCTAATTTTAGCGAATGAGGGGCCGGCCGTACTTAGGTTTACTTCTGCACCCTCCACTTAAATTAATAATCGCCTTTGTTACGAATCGCCCCACTCTCCCTTATTAAATAGCTTATACTTTACATGTGCTCACAGTACTTCGGAAGGTTTTAAGCGCGATAGAGCATTCCAGTCGTCGCCGACCGAAGAATAATAGGAACCAAACCTGAAGTCGGGGTGGATAAAGAGTCGATAAGTGACTATTGTGACAGATATTGCGTGGTTAAGGGGACAATGTTAATAAATATATTTCCTTCTTTTGCCAAAAAGTATTAGAAGCAAACAACATTGCTTTTGAAAGAGATACATTTCGTAGAACTCTAAAACTAAAACACTCAGAAAGGTCTTGTGAGGTTTTATGTTGCTGGCCCAATATCTGGTTTTGTTCTTCCTCTAGTTCTTCGATCGACTATATAGTCGAGCGTATACGCTCTATTGATATTGTGGGTCAAAAGAAAATTGTGAGAAAATTTCAGCGAAACCCTTTAGTTTTAATATTTAACGGAAACCATGAATGTGTGAACCGTCGCACACCGCGGTAATCGGAACAGATGACCCCTACGGTCTTGGAATGACTTCCAGGTCGATTACCATGCAGGAGTTTATCCTGGTGCTGGTACCGGTGGACCGTGCTCTCGCCCGCAGCCGGTAGTGCCCGTAAGGCATGATGGGGAAGTGTGGGAATGTCCAGTTCACTGGTTCGTTCGTGAAAACGTAGCGTCCCTGACAGTTTAAAAAAATCAGGCTGAGCCAAAAAGCAAGGCCACTCGACTGGGGTTCAGCACCTCCATGCCAACTACACTGTTAAAAATTATGTTGTAATTTAGCAGTAAATATGTTGCTAATTTTCTTAGCGATCAAAGTTGTTTTCAAATGACTTTTGTTGTTTACTAACGAGTTGCGTTGTTAGTCCACAAGATGTTTGTAAACCGATAGACTGCCTTATTTGCATCAATTTTTATTGCCGATTAGGTCACAGACCTAGTAGAGTCCCGGTTACCCCGCAGTAACCACTTCTTAGATTGTCCGGGTTGTTTGTACGCAGCAAAATATTGTTTTGAAACAGCATAAGTCATTAAAATAATTAGCAACGAATTCGTCGTTTCAAAACAAGCAAACTTGTTCACAAACAACAGCGTTGTCGAGGTTGGTAACTGTGTTGTTGTTTTAAAACAACTATTTTTAACAGTGTACAGATCCTTAGATACTTCCACCCGGGCCGTATCCGAAACGCTTAACTGAGAATGAATAGGTCACCATCATCACCCTTCAGATGGGTGATGCAACTTCGTTGCCCAATTTTGGGTGACGAAATAATACTTATCACCCGAAATTTGGTAACCGGCGTCAGGTCGCCCAGATTTGGGTAACGTCGTCGGCGACGCCGTTACCGTAAACCGGGGTAACTTGAGACAGCAAGGGTAACTTGAGACACTTCTGCTTTTCCACCTTTTTGGAGCTGCCACCTCGCTCGGCACATTCGGAGGTCAAAACTGCCCTAGCACTTTTTTTCGTACTTGTTTGGAAAGACGTTAAAGCGTTTGAACAGCAGGTTAGGACCAAGCTGGTCAGTTCTATAACGATTTTTCAATTTTAGTAAATTTAACAATTTTAGAGAAGTGTTACAAGTCTCCCTTGGTACTCGAAACACGTCTTGCTGAGACCCAAATAACTGTAGTACCTTTCAACACTATTATTTCAACATTCTAAATGCAGCATTGGTTTTGAGGGAAACCCATCATTCATCGGGTTATACTGACTTTTAAAGAAAATGGTAACTGTGCGGGGTAACTTGAGACACCAAATTTCATTGAATTTGACGGAAGTTGAGTGGCGTAACTTGACACTGGCACCTGCTTGTACTACAGGGTGGTTTAAAGTAACGGGCCTCTCCGTCCTAAGATCAAAACTAAGCCGAATTTGATCGGGAATCACTTTTTTAGACAGTGTAGAGGGGCCCAAATGGATATGCAGCTTAAAGTTGGAGTGTTTTCTCAACTACACACGAACCAGATGAGACAAAATAAATATTGAAGCCTCAAAAGATGGGGAATTTAATTACCTTTCCAACGAGCTAAATGTCATTGAAATTGGACAACGTCTAGCCCAAGAACCGTCGATTTTTTGAAGAAAAACAACTGTAAAAATTATTAAAGGATTTTGAGTAAATTTTAAAAATTGACTAAGACTATATACCTTTGCAGGAATGGACTTGTGTACGTAGAAATAAAGAAAAATGTCTTAACAGGTGTCAGGGTTGGATGTGAAATGAGAGAATCGCTGTACTTAGTTGACAGAGTTGGAGGTGAAATGGGAGAATCGTTGCGCTTCATGAAGTGCCGTTATCCCTCAAATTACCAAATGTAACTTTGATGAAAAAATCTTAATATAAGGATAAAAAAATCTTCTAACATATTCCACAAGTAGTACTTTTCATTAAAAATAAGTTAAATGTCTCAGAAAATCAGTATGGTCTGACAAAAACCCCACTTCTGTGAAAAAGCAAAGTGAAAACTAGGAGTGTCTCAAGTTACCCCAAATGACGGGGTAACTTGAGACAACTTTAGAGGCCCATTACTCTCATTTTAGGAGACACCCCAAAAATTCGTGGGGTCTAAACCGAATGTAATCATGTGAAATTAAACATAGTTGAGATTCGGGTTGGTGGGAGAAGTTTTGTGGACACACGGGGTCTATCCTCTTAAGGGAAACGCGTCAGGCCGTCAGTCAGTCAGTCAGTCAGTCAGTCGAGTACTCTCACCAGCATTATATTATTCAAAAATTTATTTGTACGACAAGAAAGAGCAAGTGTTATAATTCCACGACTATCCCGACACCGAAATCATTTTTTATAAAGAAGTGCACGATCGTCATGTTTCTTGCGTTATTGGCAGAATCGCCAACAAGTGACAGTCTCGCTCGGTGAACGGGCACGCGGCACGTGACGAAGGAAGACGAATTCAGTGTGTTCGAAGTGATTCGAAGATAAATGCGACCGTAGTTTGACATAATTTTAAGATAAGGTGGAAGACATGGAAGTAGGTAGGTCGATGTCATGAATTTTCGACGGAACCCGTTACATGTACTACTTGGTTTGTGTATGCTTTAAGTGACTTTATGGTATTGTCCATTTTAGAACCAGGCCCCGCTCTGCAGCGAAGACACGCTACAATTACAGTTCACAACGTTCCACACCCGTTCATAAGGTATAGCTACTGTAAATTTTATCCAGTTCGTGTACTGTATTGTTTTATACCCTGTTGGCTGCTTGGGATAGTGGTGCTAACCTTACTCTATGGGCACATTAGATGCACGACAGGTTCATATAACTATTTAAATTCTGTAATTTTTTTCTTTCAGCTAACGTTTATTGGAGTGATTGAAAAGTTGCGAATTAGAAATAATATATGTCCAGAACTGAAAAGTACCATTAAGGAATGCAGAAAGAACTCTTGTGGCTTAGTGGAAATTGAGGTACTTTCCTTGCTGGTGGAGGGTGTTATTGCTTAATAACTAGTCAAGCTTGACTTATTGAACACCTTCATCAACTTTCTTGTCTCCCTACAGTTCAATGATGGGAACGTAGCTGAAGCCTTACGTTCACTACTGAAAACCGAAGAGGTCCATTTTTACAACCGTCTATTGAAATTTGATGACTATCATGACAACGCCGAGGGCATTTGTAATATGATGACTTCGATGTCACCCTTCAAAGGAAAAGGATTGCTTCAGGATGGTGAGTGTTGTCATTTCTTCTGTACAGGAGGGAAGAAGTAATAGCTTCTATCAATTAAGTGATATCTAAGTCTGTTGTGTTATTTTAGACGGATTAAACTCTCCCCCCAAGAAGAGGCCTCATAAAAATGTCTCTTCTAGGCGAAAACTAAATGTTGGAATGGTATGTTTTCATTTTGGTATTTTTGGCTTGTGAAAAAGTGAGCAATAGTTCAGAACTTTTTGGTTTCTTGCAGGTACATCAAAAAACAAGTGGTGAATCAACCCAGCCTAGGGGTACAGCAATTCCAATGGACGTTGATGGAGGAAGTGATGATGATACATTAGTTGAATCAACTTATGTTAGTTTCAAACCTCTGCCAGACACATTTGAATCGGTAAATAACACCCAACTGTTAATATGGGCTTCAACCCTTTTTGACAATCAATGACTTTCATGTCACTTACCTTTTCTTTGTAGGTGCATTTCATGAAGGTATTGAAAAAGGTGCTCCTTCGATCCACTTTGATTTCTGCCACAGAAGAAATCACTTAAGAAAGTGTGGAAAATAACACCGTTGTTGTGAAGGCAAGGAGATGCTTAAAACTTTTTTTTCTTGGAATTAATTGCTGGGTATAATAATAGTAATAATTTTTGACAGTTTCTTAAGGGGGCTCATACATGTTAAAAGCACTTTTAAAAAAAAAAATTTGATGTAGACGGATTAAGATTTTACAATTTCTGTGTTAAAATCCTTTTAGATAATTGAGTAAGCTTCATTTTGGCTTAAGGGAAAGTGACTTTGGACATTTTTTGGAGATTTAGTCGAAACGTTTAAAATTTTGCTTCTCGTAAGATTTTGTTCGCATACTTGCTCAGATCTGTGGGGAAAAAATCAGGGAGACTCATCCCCAGTAGTGTCATAGAATTGACTAGAATGGG